CAATAATAATAATCGTTTAACCTAATCTAACCGTACACGGTACAACCAGTTTTCGATAACCCGCCGCAGAGTTTTTTGTTTATAGCGACGACTACTTGTGTTTTATTATTATTCTCCACACAAACGTAATTTTATGTTTTTTTTAATACTCGCTAGTCCTATATTATAATAATAATATAATATGGCCGATTACTCGCCAATAAGTCTACCTTATCCGCGGTTCCCGTCAACCACGGACACTTATGGACGACAATGGTAAATTATTTACAAGTATATTATTATACACACCAATGGACCGAGAAATATGAAGTAAGTACACGATTCACAAGTTGTACGTTCAATTGCCCGCTAACACGGCGTACAGTGTAAAATCTAATATTATAGCGTTGCGTTGGGTCGAAAAAAAATATATAAATTATTATCTTATATACATCCGTTCGACCGTGGCAGATTTTCTCCTTCCCTCATTTTCTTTCTAGAGAGACAACCCAAATGTATAAGGAGACACTATTTTCGAGATAACGCCGGTTCCTCCTTAGAATGCAATGTTTAATGGTCCGACTCCTTAATTTATTTATTGTTTTAATTTAATAAAACACCATTATTTTTGGAAAAATTCGATATCGGTCAAACATTCGAATGGATCCGGTGAGCCCAATTCGATGCGTTTACCCCGTCCTGTTTTCATGGTACACCAAATAAAATATCGGTCACCGGCGTTTTTTTTTTTTTGCTATTTATATTTAAACGTTTTATCATTAAGAAATTCCCAATTTCTCTCAATTGTTTTCCAACCAATTTCATATTGTAATTGTCGTCGGCCTACAACGTTTGTAGTTATTGTGTTCGGCGATTGGGAACATTTCATCTCATAAAAAAAAAAAATGTAATCTAGAACAGTCCGGTTTCTAATCGATTAGATTAGGTTTTTGTACGATGGTTTAAGGAAATCCTTGCGTGTCCCGTCCGGTCCGATTTATCCAATCTACGTTGAAACGGATAAGATGCCACTGAAAATCTGCACAGTAAATAATAGCCATTATGTACCTGCTTCTTTCAAAATTCCGTGCCCTATCTCTAGCGACAATTTAACACAGAAAAAGTTAAAATTTAAAAAAAATACTATCGACCATTGCGCACATTATCTGCAAACAACAAGTGAAGACTGCACATTAGTCTTCTGCCGTCTGTTATATTACGTACATTATGTCTCATCGTTATTTTTTTTATGCACCGAGTTCGTTGTTTACACAACTTTTTTTTTTTTAATTTACACAACAACAGACAACACAACCGACTAGCTGAGAGAAATATTAATATAAACATTCAAGTATGACTGTACTTCTATTGTCGTAGGCTGTAGCTACTGTTGCTGTGCGACAATTTTGTTATTTGAGCTCTTCATCAGCCGATAGCGGAGTTTTATGAGTTTAAAAATGGTAATTGGTCTGTAATTAAAAGATCCCAGAAATAAATAGGAACTGCAAGATTGGTAGAAGTATTTAACTACTTGAAGCAATAATAAGTCAAAGGTTTTTTTTTACCATTAAGTTTTGCTTAAAAAAATTGTTTTATGATAAAAGATAAAAAAATTACTTATTAAAAACTCAGTTGACTAATTTAGGTTATTATAATAAACGTTGTACCTAGTGCTAGAACCCATTAACTGTCTTCAAATTGTCCACGCACATTAGTCGTATTATCCAATTCCCACACAATTATCTTGTCAACAATCGCATTTAAAGAGGATTTCCCAAGGTTCACTAGGGTCTCATTCACTTTATCAATGATTTTATGGCAATCTACTTCAAAGGTGAAAGGCGCAAAAAAATGTCCGCCATACGCTTCAACAAACTTATGGTAAGGTTTCAAAACGTAACACTTAAGTTAAATAATATTCTGGTCAGATGGCACTGCTATCCTATCCCTACATTATTGAATATTGTCACTGTATCTTTGTCATCAGACTTGCTGATTATACATTTGTATAGATTGTAAATAAATAAAATTGTTTAATAAAAAAATTATAAGTTAAATAAACAATAGAATATAGGTACAAACACAAATTAGATTAAAAATAGTTGCTTGCTAGCTAAAGAAACAATGCAATCGACGTTAGTTTTGTTGATTATTTGTGACACGGAATACATTTAACAACATTACAAAACCAACTGACTCTACGCCTATTCTTGTGAGGACCTTGCTTATAGTTAAATTCTTTGTTTATACATTTTTTTTCTAATCGCTTAAATATTATTAGTTGCATTAGTAGCACAACAATACTACATGCATCCGCGCAAGCTCTTGAGATCACTCCAAATTTATAGTGCGCAATAAGTGTCGAGTCGAGTCTCGAGAGCTAAAAGAGCTAACTATAATTCTATGTGTAATATTAAGCGATTTACTACTGTAAAGTGACGGACGATTATTATGTCATAATGATAATTGGAACGCATAAACTAATGCAGGAAGTAATGAGAGATATCTGTCTGAATCGAGTTTGATTAACCGAGAAGTGCACGGTGCAGTGCTATAAAATATGTAACAATTAATATATAATACATATTTATTATTATAAAATGTGCGTCTACGCTTCTAATAATAAACCTTCCAGTATTGCATTATTTGCGTTTATTAAAATCGATTTTTGATACCTATACTTACGTAGACAACAGTCGTTACATAATTTGCTAGAGTTGTATTAAATACCTACACATGTAAGCGACAATACCTAATAATAATAAAAACGGTCAATTATTATTCGTTATTATTATCGGGCGACTACATGAAAGCAATCGACTGTACAATAATAACAAGAGTAAAAAATGAAGGGAAAAACAACTGGTGGTAACCAAATCCGATTTTCTATTTTGTTTGCATTAGCACGATTAACGCATTAGCGCCAATAATGATATGTATAAAGTATTAGTCACTTGGAAGCATCAAGTGCATTTTTCAGTTTGAACGTGTCATGTGCACAAAAACAGCAGTTCTAATTTTATATATTTCACATAAAACAGTCTAGCAGACGATAAATAATAAAAAAAAAACTAATTATTATAAAATAATGTTTTCGACAAACTACCGATCAATATTGTTTGATAGTTGAAATATTCGTTTTAAAAAATCATTGAACAATTTAACAGCAGTTTATGACAAAGCTATATAAATAAACTATAAAATAAAAAAATGTAAAAAAAATATTTATTGAAATTTATTTTTTTTTATGTTTAAAAATTAGTGAAATTTTGGATATATTATGTTAATGACCAGCTTAATTTTAACCTATTAAATAAACGTTATGACCTTCTCAAACAATTTGTGCAGTTTACATATGAATTGCAATTAACCAGTAATTTTTGTTTAGTTTTCGGTAGTGAAAAACTAAAAAAAAACTGTTAGTAGATTTATTGTAGTAAGTCTAGATTTTTTAATTAAATAGGAATATTATTATCATGCCTCATAGTAATGAATTAGCAAGACGTCTTTACGTTTTTTTGTTATGTTAGAAGTGTCCCTTCTGATTAAGACTATTTTGGGGTTATGTTCTTAAAATATAATAAATACTAAATTACATTTTCGTGTAGGTTTTATTTATATTTTTTCTTACGATTTACTGTTTATTAAAGTCTCAAAACCATTTAACTTAAACATGGCCAATGTAAACTTTATACAATTTACACGAGGAACTAAAACTTTTTTGTTTTGAACTATGTATTTTTGGTAACGTTCTCAATCTTTGTTTACAAATGTATAGGTTTGACAGATTTATTTACAAAACCCATGGAAATCTGTCAAATCTACTTGACCCACACACCACTGTAGCAAAAGTAATATTTATCAATAATTCAACATTTTAAATGCCTTATTTATACTGACAAAGAAGTTTTTGGGTATGGGCCTAAATATTTTATAACGTACCGTTAACAAAATAACACTCGAGGAAGAGCTTTGTCGCATAAACCACGTTCATCTTCTCAAAATCTCTGAATATTTCATAATATATATTTGTGAAAGAGTTAAGTTTGTCTCAAACAAATAAACAGGTTTCTTGGTCGTTGATCCCAATTTCGCGGCATAAATAAATAATATATGATTATAAAAGGTACTCGTGATTCTAAATTAATAATTACAACATGCGTTATTGATTTATAAAATATCTAGTTAAAAGACAAGTTCATAAAAAAAAAATTACGATACACGCATTTATAAATAATATTGAGCTATTCAAGGCTCCAAAATTGCACTATAGGCTAATAACGGAGAATTTAAATTTAAATTTATATTAATACAAATTGTCATAATTATCACATGGTGCTGTAATGTAATTCAACAATAATTGTTGTTATATCATACATCGAATAATGTGAGAGTCAGAGATATAATTATTTTATTGACATAAGGCCGTAGGTCGCAATAATGCAATACCGTTATTAATGTCAGTTACGAATGAAATTGCAAAAATATAATAGCCTGGCCAATACAAGAAATACATGTGCTTATTTACAATGTACAGTGTGATTATTTATTTATGGAGGAATACGACGATTACAACACTATAGGTTGGACATAACCTAAATATCGCTGGACATACATTTGATGTACCTACATGCACGTCATAATAACAAACTTTCAAGCGTAACACACCAATGCTGTGGAATGTAAACCGTGAACGGAAAATAAACTCTGCCCTTATCGCAATACAACCAGTACGGTAGGTCGGTGCCTTATATAAAAGCTAAATTTATATTATTAAGCCGTTTCACACGGGCATACGGTTAAAAATTCATATTATAGATTACCACCTGCCCAACTTTCCTATGCCTATACCGGTTATTATTAGTACCTACCGAGTAATGAGTATAAGTTCCTCTGTACGCGACTTTAACGTCGGCCGTTTAGCTGACCAGACCAGATTCCTTTTCGGTAAATCCGCAATATTATTATTAATATAATGATACCAATTAAATACAATAAAAAGCAACAAAAAAAAAACTTACTCTTGTGTTTCGAATTTCCTTTCCATATGGACTTGAGCGACAGCGGCATGACGACGGTCGGTACGTTTACTTTAATAATAATAATAAATATATTATCTATTATATTTTATTATACTATTTTCGATAGTATTAAAAAAATAAATTATACTATTATTATTATTTCGGCACACGCGAAAATACAAACAACGGCGATTGTGATATTTCAACCTAACGTGTCTGGATAGAAACTATTTTTTTAATTATTATTACAAAATTTGCAATTACAATTTTTTCGTTTTTTATTTTAATTTTATTTTAACGCCGTCGACATGCATACGACCGAACAAATGGAACTCTCACCGCACACTGCCACACGCACGTTACATGAATAACCTAACCGTCGGTCTCAGATATATCTCTCTCTCTCTCTGTCTCTCTCTCACTCGCACAGACACTCTCTCTCTCTCTTCTTATATTCTGTTCCCATTGCGTTTTTCGAGTCGTTAGGTACGCCGAACAGCTGTGGTTGTTGTTGCTAGGTAGTATTTTCTATCGACAAGTCAAATTAAAAAAAATACACGGTCTAACGTTACCAAGCGACGACTCGTTTTTGTTTTTCCACCGACGCGACTGTTAAGATCAAATAGACTTTATACGAATAATTATTGCAGTACCGGATTGGGGAAAAACGAGCCACCGGGCCTAATATAGGTTTTAGCCAAAACTCTAATTTTTTTTAGTGCGATAAAAGTTAAGAATATAATGACCGACCACACAGTCCCGCTGTGCCGTGTAAAGGCTAAAAAAAAATTACACATTTTTGATTCCTAAATCATGTGCAGTGGAGTTATTCACTACAAAATTACAGGCGCCTATTGAATCATTATTATGAGTAGATTTGTGTAGTATTGAATTTGCAGCTATTTTGAATAAACTAGGATTAAACACTAGGATAAACTGTGTTCTGGAAAAGTGTTAAAAAATTGTAAAAATTAACCATTTAGAGTCACACTTACTAACTCGTACAATTTTTTTTTGTAAATATCAGCTGCTTAAAACAGTAGCAGTATACAAATATTCTGTAACTATGAAATTAATTACTTCCCACTTTTCTGACTTCTTACTATGCTTGGTTTTATCTTCTATGTTTTTTAAAATATACCTAATGCACTATAACTTAACAAAACAATTGGTTAAAAATAATAAAAGTTAGAATTTTTTAAGTTCCAAGTCCTCTTCGTACCCACAATACCAATAAGAAAATGAAAATTATATTTTTTGCAATTTTATATACTTGACTTAACCTGCAAATCAATCAACGACGAACTGAAGAAACAAATGCAAATAATCATTGCAGTAAAAATTAAATTGTGGACACGTGTCGATGCGACTAAAAATAATGAACTTGTCTCGACGTCCTTCGAGTGATTGTAAAAACAAAGATCTACCTATCGATTATCATATTATTATACTTTTAAATCGTCTTGTATGGCGCAGACGATAAGGCGTCAAACTTGATTTCTGTCTCGCTTGGGTAAAAACTCAAATTCTCCCATTAAATATGATGATAGGGAAGCGGTCATGGCATTCATTTAAAATTAAAATGCGTATTTTCTAAAAAATACCTGTATGAAACATTATTTAAATACAATTATTGGGGTCGCAAGTAAAAAAAGATTCAAGATGTCTGACTATAAAACTAAGAGTTTTGTCTTTTAAAAAGTTATACTTTAAAACAAGTACTATTTACTTTAAAAAAAAAATGTATTAAGTCATGTACAGTTAAGAGGACGTGATAACACCTATTTATTAGGGAGTAAAGTATAGGCATTACTTGCAACATTTTAATTTTGAGATTGAACTATGGTGTATACTTATTAATACAATAATGAGGATTCACAGTGATTTCTATAAGATAAATTACAATTGTTTACCACCAAAACTGCTCTGAGAGGGACAAACTTATTAGATCAATATGATCGTATATTACCATTTACTAGTAATATTACCAAAGTTTTACAATACATAGAAGAGAACTTTAAAAAAGTATATTTCCCTATGGTTTAAATATGAAATATGACGTTACGAAAACATAGCATAAAGATTTTTTCGTTTTTCCTTTAATACTTTTTGTATACTATGATCGAGTATTTAAGTCTCCAATTGTAATTACTTAATGCTATTTTTATTATGTTAATATTGGATCACACTGGCCCCTCCACACAAGTTTTCTCGGTGAAGTAAAATTGATTTGTTATTGCGGATATTAATTATAAACAAAATAAATGATTGGCGTCGAAAAGGTTGCATTTTCATTCAAAGTGTTTTTCACCGGCAAAATAATTTATTTCGTTAGCAACCCGGCGCGACTTTTAAAGAAATAGTATAGACATACAAGTATATTATAATTTTTTTTATTTTTAGTGTACTATTGTTTTATGGGTACATGTAAGTCAACTCTATCAGTGTATTAAACAAAAGTCACGCGATAACATGAAGTACCTAGTGGCAGTGACGAAGGAGCAACGAACTGTAAAGAAGTAAAATATATATAAACACCTTATTTGTACCATGTAAAATCTCAGTGAGTTTTACGACGCCCAGTAAAATAATTGATGGGCACAAAACTTAGAGCTAAGACAAACTGAAACCGTGTTTTTATGGTTATACAATGACTTAACAGATAGGACTGACTGAGACACTTACTACATTGAATTTGTAACAAACTTATGTAAAATCAACGATAGCTTAAAAACTCTACCGAATTACAAAATCGTTTACAATGAACCTAACCTAACCGTTCAAAGTTACTGCGATCTGTCATAGTTGATAGTTCCCACGCCTCTCTCTACAATCAAACTAGTGGACAGTGTGCACAATACATGGAATTATGATGTAAAAAGTACAAATAAAAAGGAGAAAGTCTTTTTTCCACGTTTTTTTATTCTATAAGTAAAAAAATATATATTGTGTTAAGACACACCGATATTAAATATCTTATATTTGTAAAGCAAATAGTTATAATAATTCTATGCTGTATTGCCGTATATGTTGTATTTACTTGCTAAAAATCGCATTGTTGTTGAGTAATTAATATATTAGCGATTAAGAAAACGTTGGCTTTGCTAAAAAAAATACATTATAGTTAGTTTTTAGTTTTTGTTTTTAGATTTACACAAAATAAACGGTAATTGATAATACTGGTAAAACACATTTTGTTGTCTTAAAAATTAACTTAATTATTTAATAACATTGGTGCCCGATTTGAAATACGACTTATTTTTATTCGATGGGGGCTCTAATTTGGAGATATTTACATAATATGATATATTAATAAGTTGGTACGTAAATATTTGTTATAACTTTTTAAGTGTTTAACTTATTAATTTAATACTTGTAAAACTTGCAAAGGGACTGTCCTAACAAATACTACCAAAAAAACATAAGATTCTCAGATGTAAACGGCTAGTTAGTGTAGTTTTTCATTATTATGACTTAATAGTTAATTCATACTTTGATTAAAAAATGTTTAAACCATTATATTTTATTGATTTTAATAGCATTTTAAAATACATTAATATTAAATTAATATGAAATAGTAATTAAATTAGCATCTGAATTGTGATGCAGTAAGCTGTATCTCTAAGACTAAAGTGAACCTAAATAAACTAGTATCATTTTTAAAAACAGTGCATCAAATATATCCTAATAAGTTTAATTTCTAGGACACCAAAAAAAAATTGTTGTGTAATAATTAATATTAAAAAATATAGTAAACGGTTAATTGTGTTATTTTTTTTTTTTAGCTTTAAAACAATCTGCACTTGGTATTGTTTTCCACGTGTCCAAATATGGTACCTAAATATGATAGTAAAATACAATTATTATGTTTTTTCTATGTACTATTGTTTATTTGTTTCTGTACATCCCAAATGTCATTCATTAACTTTTTATCATAAGCAAAAACTGTTGATTATTTTTATATTTTTTTTTATAAAGGTAAACATATTTGAATTTGTTACAGCTCGCGCGAAACAACATAATAATAAAATATTCTATTTTTAATACTAAACATTTTTATAATTAACTTTTAACACTATTACACTTAGTAGATTACCCAAAACTTCATTATAATACTGACCACGTTCATGCAAAACACGTTAAGTCCAAAACCGTAGTTTTTTACTTACTTTTTGGTGTATATTAAATAATATAATAAAAGAATAATGTAAATTAGACTTTTTGAAATTTAAAATTCCTTTTAAATCATTGTTATTACCTCTTTGAAATTATCGGATGTCAACAAACGTTGGTATTTTTTGCTGTTGATCTTAGTAAAAATAATAATCTAGACAAAAAAATAATTGAATGTGTGTTTTGCATGAACGGGGTCGATATTATAATCAATACCTATTTCTTTATTTTAGTAAGTAATCATACATAAGTCTCTAAAATCTACTGATGAAGAGTGTTTAATTAATTAGTTGCAAATAAATTGAACATGTTGTAAGTAGACAGGATTCCTATCACAGAAAAGTGAAATAAGTAAGAGTAGTGAGTTTAAAAGGATTTAGTGGCTTACTAAAAAATTAGTTGGAAGATGTTAAAAGTGAAGTATTAATAACCAAATGGAAAATTATGATTTCTTACAATGGGTGACATTTATTTCCTTTAAAATCGTTTTCAAAAATATATAAACATATGTACAACAAACACAGATAGAAATGGGTTTTATCGACAAACATTTTATGATTAAAAAGTCTTTAAAAAAAAAAAACACAAATGACGCTTATACCCTTTAGGTTATTATATCACTTCAAAGTTCAAATAAATATACGGGGAAGTGCTACTGATGATGACAACAGACTGATGAGAATATTATACCTAATTGTACACTAAGAGTCTGCCAATAGAAGGAGGAGCAAACAGTGACAGTTACAAGGCCATCCAAATACTATGTCGGCTAGAGGAAGAAGAATTTTGCCGAGTGTCGAGGCACATTAATCACTGCGGCGGCTATTGTTTTCCCGGTCTTTATGTTTCGCCCCGTGCACACCGAATGAACTATTATGACACCTACTCAATAAACAAGTACGCTGCGATGGAGCACATATTTTGCCCTTTTTGGCGCAGAAGGAAAACGCAGTGTACAGGAAAAATGGCATCCGCTGTGCCCCGTAATCCAGAAATGCGGCTACGGTCGTTAGGCTACACAATAATCGCGTATCATTTTTATTTGTTCCGTTGTCCTCAACCAAAACGACCAAGAGCCCGTGACAACGTACACTATGCCATTGTCCGCTGAACACTATTACTTCAGGTATCTAATTTACATAGGGCCAGAATAGCAATTCTAAACAACAGTCGCAGTGCTAAATTA